GTGGAAGAAAAGGTCTGGGAAGAGATGAACGTCACGATATTAAGATTCCAAAGGGGCAAGACTTAGGATTCCGCTGTATTTTCAGTTTAATACCACAAGTGTCTTTAGAATATGAACATTTAAAATAATCTCCCAGGAACGTACCTAGTTCTCAGGCAGCTTGAAATTTTTATTGAAAACTAAGCACATCAGTTTCTCTTTGAGTTCATTCTCGCGATTCAGTCACTTTCCTTTTACAAATGGATGAAGGGGGTTGAGAATACTTTCCCCATCTCAACTCGTGGCAAAGTCAAAATCGCGGGTTAGCAGACCTTCCGCTCGTATAACGGGGTGGGGTGGGGGTTCGCCAGTCTGCTTTTCCAGTTACGTTTTGCCTTATCTGTAATGAGAAAAGCTGTCCTCTGGAGGACTTGAAATGAACTCTCTAACGGAAGGAGGAGAGGCTGTGCAGAGCCTCGTTGGGCTGCCGCATGTGCGGCACTGCTGGGAGCCGCTGCAGCAGCGGGGGACAGCCGTGGGGCAGTAAGACACAGTCATGGAATTTATTGCTTGTGACTGGTTTCCAAAGAAACCGAGTGCTTTCCAGCTGTCAGTAAGCCTGGCATGATGTGAGCCCAGTGAGAAAAGTGGCAGTAAGTATCAGGGCTTCGCAAACGAAGTAACCGGAGACAGCCACGTTTGTGGGACAGAAAAGTCAGGAACCTCTCTCCTCTTCTTCTGGTTGTGAGTAAAATCAGGACGGAAGGCGAGGAGAAGTGGTTGCTGGTCTCCACGCAGCCGGGTGAGGGACGCCAGCTTCAGAAGCAGTCCCCCGAGGCTTCCTCCTGTATCTGGGCCGTGTCCGGCCTTTGAGGAGTGGATGACGCAGAAGTAGACGCTGGGGGACCGGGTCCTGCGGTCACTCGCTGGGATGGGGTGGCAAGGGGCTTGCCTGATGTAGGAGAGGGCAGTGCTCTCTGGGAGAGGTTCCGAACACTGGCCAGCTGAGACTTGGCTTTACCCGTGCTGGGACTGGTGACACAGTTCTGAGTTCAGAGAAAGTTCTCACAGTGAGTGCTGCTGCTTTCCAGCTATGAACTCAACACAGGACTCAGGGCTAAGGGGAAGGAGCCCCAGAGGACGCCCCACTTTCTCAGAAAGTACACTGTATTCTTTCTGTCCTTTCTGACACTGTCTCCCTGTGTCTGTGCTTTTTTGGTCAGCTTGTTAACCTAGGAGTGACTGACACAGCCAGTGAGTTAGGGGCCCAGATGTTTGCTGACCTTAGTTCAGGATGAAAGCCTGTCAACGATCAGTGGTGTAATACTTCCAACCTCGGTTATAACTTCGCACGCTCTTCCCTTTTTTTTTTTTTTAATTTTGTTAATGTTTATTTATTTTTAAGAGAGAGAGAGAGAGAATGTGTATGAGCAGGGGAGGGGCGGAGAGGGAGGGAGACGCAGGATCCGAAGCAGGCTCCAGCTCTGAGCTGTACGCACAGAGCCCGACGTGGGGCTGGATCTCACAGGCTGTGAGATCATGACCTGAGCGGAAACTGGACACTTAACTGACTGAGGCACCTAGGCACCCTATTCCTCTTTTATTTCTGGTTTTGTTTGAGTCCTTTCTGCCTTTTTTTATTTTTCCTTACGAGTCTGGCTAAAGGTTTATTAATGTTGTTGGTTTTTTTCAAAGAACCAGCTCCTGATTTCATTGATCTCTTCTATTTTTTTTTTTTTTAGTTTCTATTTCATTTATTTCTGATCTAATCTTCATTATTACCTTCCTTCTATTTAAATTGTTTTTTAAACGCTTATTCACCTTTGAGAGACAGAGCATGAGCATGAGCAGAGAGGGAGGGAGACACAGGATCCAAAGCAGGCTCCAGGCTCTGAGCTGTCGGCACAGAGCCCTACACGGGGCTCGAACTCATGAGCTGTGAGATCGTGACTTGAGCCAAAGTTGGACGCTTAACAACTGAGCCACCCAGGACCCCTGTTCCTCTTTTTTAAATGAAAAATGTGACAAATGTCGTGTTAGAGTGAAAATTAGCAGCAAGGACGTCATTCCTACTGGAATATTCGGTGTAGATGAAGGGGAACGGAAGCGGATCGGACACAAAGGACCGCAAGGAGCATGGCAGGGGGCGCGGATTGGGAGTCCGTGTGCACCCAGGGTAGGAGACACCTTAACTGATGGCAGGTATGGAGAACGGGGATGTGAGGGTGGAGGGAGGGGAGACAAAGGTGGCGGAGGCCCCTGGGCAGTGGGAGCTGCAGAGCAGGAGCAGGTGAGAAACTGCTGAGGGACGTTGATAGGCCAGTCACAGTTAAATCCGCACATTCGGCGATCCCAGCTCTCCTCTAGCAATACTCAGTGGTCTGTGGAGCCCGGGGGGCAGGGGTCCCTCCACGGGCCGTGCACGGGACCGGCAGCTGGCGAGAGAGTGAAGTAGGGCAGGAGAGAACCAAGTTTCTACACCGAGGGTAGCTTACAGGAGAAGCCTTTCTGTAGAGATTTTGCACTTTGGCTGAGACAGAAACATAGAGTGAGCATTTTCCATAGAGATGGATGAAATACGAGACATGGAAGTTTGTGTATAATGTGATGGTTTCCAGAACTCAGAAATCTGAGTTGGCCGTAGGCTGTCATTCCCATATCTAAGTCCAGGGAAAATACGGTCTTTAAAATCCCCAGCTCTAGTCATTTTGATAAGATTTGTGTCGTGGGTTGAAACTTCCTCTACTTCATTTTCATTGTGTTATGAATAAAATGAATCCTGTGGGAGTTTTTAACTTGTTTTTCTTGAGTATTGAAATCTCTGATTAAAAAAAAAATACAACAGAACGGTGTCACCATGGGCACCACGGTGTCCCGAGTTTCCGTTGCCTTGGCTGTGAAATGGGACGCACGCTGCCACCGTGCTGTGCTTTCGTGAGCTCCAGTGGTCAGGGGCTCTGCAGACCCGGTGTGTGGTATGGAAGCCACAGGGGACGAAGGTGGCCGGTGGGCTCAGGGCCCAGGGCCCATTGGTCCTTCCTCTGAAGTAGACGTTCATACAGTATCGATGCTTGACTGGCTCACGTTGGCTTTACCAAGGTGGCTTATTTAAGTCCGTGTGAGGGGCGCCTGGGTGGCGCAGTCGGTTAAGCGTCCGACTTCAGCCAGGTCACGATCTCGCGGTCCGTGAGTTCGAGCCCCGCGTCGGGCTCTGGGCTGGTGGCTCGGAGCCTGGAGCCTGTTTCCGATTCTGTGTCTCCCTCTCTCTCTGCCCTTCCCCCGTTCATGCTCTGTCTCTCTCTGTCCCAAAAATAAATAAAAACGTTGAAAAAAAAAATTTATAAGTCCGTGTGAATCCCTGCAGTTGGTAGTCACTGGGCGGGGGCGGGGGTTGTCTTTAATGCTGGCTCACAGACGCAGGGGCTGAGCATCTGGGTAAGTAGCACGACGTGTCTCCCACAGTGGTTGGCAGCAGACGAGACCTTAGCCTCGGTTCACACCTGGCCCTGGGCTTTGACTCCGTTCTCCAGCCTCCTGACCTGGCTCTCCCTGGGCTGCGGGACCAGCCAGAGATACAAGAGAAGTGACACTGAATCCAGCTACCCGGCACTTCCCCAGGCCGTCCCCAAGTCTCCCTCTGCCCGGCCCGCCTCGCTGCCCCGCACCCAGCACGCGGCAGGCGCCCCGGCTCCCTGCAGGTGGCCCTAGCGCCATCCCGGGTTTCGTGACTTGATCTCTAAACCTGTGGCGTGATCTCAGAACGTGGATGGACCCGGTGTCCCCAAGAGTTGGCTCGGACCCCGAGGCTCTCCAGGCCGGTTCCCTTAGAAGCTGCCCAGTGGTGACAGTCCTGCTGAGGGGCCGCATCTGCACCCAAGGGGCTCTTGTGGAGCTGGAGCTCTTCACGGAGGCCGTTCCGCTCACTGTGTGCTGTTGTCGCGGAGTCACGGGTAGCACAGATGGTTACAGGGAGAAGGAAGGGCACCGCGGTTTGCAAAAATATTTCCAGTGTAGTAATGTGATGGCACATTTAGAGCAACTGAGTGTATTAGTAATAAAATGACGGAAAAGGAGTTAGACGTTTAAGGTTAGGAGGAAGGAGTGTGACTTTTTTTAAAAGTTGAGAAATACTGGTGGAGTTTCAAAGAACAAGATGTTCTTAAATGAAAATTATTTTGATGGTATGTATAATTAATGAATTCTTTCTGGAGAAGTGAAAGAAAAATTGTGAGGCTTTCCTGAAATGCCTCGCCAAAAAAATGCAAATGTACTTTAAAAAATCTCCACGGGGGCTCCTGGGTGGTTCAGTTGGTTAAGCGTCTGACTCCCGATTTCCGCTCAGGTCAGGATCTCATGTCGGGCTGTGCTGACGGCAGGGAGTCTGCTTGGGATTCTCCCTCTCTCCCTGCCCCTCCCCTTCCTCAAAAGTGAATAAATAAACTTAAACCTCTTTACAAATACTTACAAGGCCAACTGGAAATTGAAGTACTTTTAGTTTTTCCATGTAGAGTTCTGGCGACAAGTACTTACTGAAGAATGTTAACCTGGAGGAGTTCATTCATCCAGAGTGTCTTCTCCAGTGTGCAGTCTGACTGTGTGACATTGCTCGTGGAGCAGTATGGTTTCCTAAACCTTTCTCGTTGTCCTGTTTCACCAGAAGTTGCTGATGTTTATTATGGTTCACATTCAATTTCTTCTTCTTCTTTAGAAATAAAGCCGCTTCATAGGCGTGGCTTGTGGTTGTGTTTATAAGGTAGCAAATTATAGCACGATCGAGAAGATGAATGCCAGGGAGGCCGAAAGTAGACATTGGGTCTTTCGGGATTAATGGGCAAGAAGGGTCGATAACTGCACGGGTGTCTCTAAGCTTAAAAGTAATGTTCTGCTGGAGCGCTCTGAAAACAGGGAATTGATGTTTTGGTGCCGCGGTTGGTGTCGGCCTGTGGGTAGGGCGGGGTCCCCCGTCTGGGGGACGGCGCCCACTCTTCTCCCTCCTCTCACGCCGTCCCGTCGTTCCTCAGGGCCCTCCGGAGTTCCCGCAGCACACGCCCGGGCCGGTCCCCGGCACCTTCAGCCAGCCCCCGCGGCTTCCCCTGCAGGACCAGTGGAGAGCCCCGCCGCCGCCGCAGGAGCGGGACCCTTTCTTCTTGGGAGGTAAGGGGCGGCCGCGCGGCGGGGCGGAGTGGCGGGCGGAGAGGAGCCCCCACGCATTTGGGCTTCGCCCTGCCCGGAGCGGAGCGGCGGGTCGTCGGGTGGGAGAGGCCGGTGGCCGGCGCGTCCGCCCGGCCTCGCGAGGCCCGCGTCGCGGCGGGGGCCGTTGGCAACCGCGGGGGGCGGGCCCCCCCCCCCCCCCCGCCCCGGAGAGGAGTGGAATCCCTCTCCCTGGGGTCGTGCCCCCCACGTGTGTGACCTTTGTTCGCCGTCACACGGTCCGGCGGCACGCGGGCGCGTCGCCCCGCGGGCGGCGGGCCCGGTCCCCGCGAGCAGAGGGTGATGCCGCCGCGCGCGCTTCAGTTTCAGGCGAACCGAGGTTCCCGAGTCATCTCTTCCTGGAGCAGCGCAGCCCCCCGCCGCCGCCGCCGCCCCCCACGCTCCTCAGCGGCGCGCACCCCGTGCCCGCCCCCAGCCCCCTGCCGTTCACCCAGCCCGGGCCAGCGTTCAGCCAGCAGGGCCAGCAGCCCGTGTTCCCCAGGGAGAGGCCCGTGAGGCCAGCGCTGCAGCCGCCGGGGCCGCTGGGGATCCTGCACTTCAGCCAGCCGGGCTCGGCGGCCACGCGGCCCTTCATCCCGCCGCGGCAGCCCTTCCTGCCCGGCCCGGGCCAGCCCTTCCTGCCCGCGCACGCGCAGCCCAGCCTGCAGGTATGCGGGGGAGGGGCGCCTCGGCGTCCTGGGGCGCGGGGACCCCGTTGAAAGAGCCAGGGTCTCGTCCGCAACGCGCTGCTTTCTCGACAGGCTCGTTTATCTCCTTGGCCGGAGAAATGGAAAAAGCGGTGGTCAGTTTTGGGGAAAGGAAGACATTCCGAGAGGCCGTACTGCTAATAAAGTCAGGGCAGGCTCTTTGCTCCTCGTGGCAGGATTCTTAAAAGGGTTTCCGGTGGAAGTAAAGTTCTTTGTCCACTTCCCTTCCTGCCGTGGCGTAGCAGAAAGATTCTGTGCGCCGAGGGGCAGGAGAGTGTCGCCGTTGCCCGTTATTTGAAAGATTTGAGTGCCCTCTGCCGTGGGTCACGCTTCATGGGCCCCTTGGGTTCCTGGGGCCCTTGCTTGCCCCGTACTTTCTGCCTGCCCTTCAGCTTTACTGTAAAGACCCATCACGATGGTACACCTGGCTCAACCGTCTAGAAACACACAGACTACCTAAAGTGGAAAAAGGAGAACGATTATGATTTAGATTGTTAACGTGGGATGAAATGTTTCTTCTTTGAGTAGAAGTAAAAGGGACTTCTTTGAGTAGAGAGAATTATTCCCAAAGAAAATGAAAAAATCCCATCCTCTAGGAAAGGTCACCACCCACAGGGGGGCGCCCGTGGCTCCCGTGTCCCCGCAGCAGGCGCGCCCTCCTCCTGTGCTGCTGTCCAGTTGGCACAGTAGTGTGAGCCCCTCTTCCCGGCTTGCTTTTCTCTGCAGCATTTGAAAGCGCCTTGCAGGATTACACCTTCCGGCTGTCATTAGTTTTGGGGCATCTTTATCGGTCCCAGTACGTGGGCGTTAGAAACTGTGCCGCCGGCAGCATCCTTACTTGTTTCCTTAGATTCCTGGAATTTGGAGCGTAGAAGGACTCAGCGCAAATACAAGGTGTAAGAGATCGCTTTTGGCTTGTTACCGTGTTTTAGCTGATGCGACCTCTGTCAACAAATCTAAGATGAAATTTTAGTGCCCTTCAAGTTGCTGGTTTGGGGTTTTAAAGAAACGGCCGAATTGCAGCGTACCTAGGAAGTGCGTTTATAACTGTTGTCTGTCTTTGTTTTGGCACCAAGGGGCCCCTTCACCCTCCGCTGCCCCCTCCGCACCAGCCCCAGCCGCAGCCGCAGCCTCAGCCCCCGCTCCAGCCGCAGCACCAGCCTCCGCTGCAGCCGCCCCCGCAGCACCAGCCGCCCCCGCAGCCGCAGCACCAGCCCCCGCACCAGCCGCAGCCGCACCAGCACCACCACCATCTGTCCGTCCCTCCGCCGCCGCTGATGCCCATGTCGCAGCCGCAGTTCCGGCCTCACATCCAGACGGCCCAGCCGCAGCCAGGCGGTGCTCGGATGCAGTGTCCCCAGCGCCAGGGGCTCAGGCATGTAAGTGGCCCGCTGCCTCCGGCTGTCTTCCCGGCGCACCTTTTAAGGGGCGGAACTTAAGGGGCAGAGCTGGTGAGGCGGCATATTTTCCAGTTCCGGTTTAATTCCTGAAACATGGGTAGTACATTTCTCTGAAGGGAGTGTGTGTGTAAAAGACTGCTTAGGAAATTGATTTTCTTGACTGCAGAAATTAATGAAGTCCCTTTTGTGCTGGGAAGACTGTATTAACATTATTTACTTCATCATCTTATGTGTGTGTATCTAGATCCTCTTATTTATTTATTTTTTTTACATTTACTTATTTTTGAGAGAGAGAGACAGCATGAGCAGGGGAGGGGCAGAGAGAGAGGGAGACGCAGAATCCGAAGCAGGCTCCGGGCTCCGAGCGGTCAGCACAGAGCCCGACGCGGGGCTCGAACCCACAGACCGGGAGATCATGACCTGAGCCAAAGTCAGCTGCTTAACCGACTGAGCCACCCAGGCGCCCCTAGATACTCTTACAGTGGTGGATACCGTTAGTGGACACACAACGTTAGGAAACCCTACTTTTGGGCGATGGCCACTCTGCCTTAACCGCTGCTTTTTGTTGTTGTTGGCTGTATCGTCTCTGCGTCCTTGTGCTCTGCATAAATAAATGGATTCAGGTGGAATTGACCGGACAGCCTCTTGCTAGGCACCATCTGAGTTCCTGGGAAGGCAGCAGTGGACAAGAGACAAGTTTCCTATCCTCGTGAAGCCTGTATTTAACTGCAGGAGGTCATCAGTGCATCTGTGAGGACACAGTCTCAGGTGCCCTCAGCAGGTGTGCTATGTGGCCTGTCACTTATCGAAGGGAGCTATGGAGTGTGCATTGCTTTAAAAATAAAAGACAGTAGTCATTGCTATTGCCTTGTCCTCCATTAAATAACTCTGTAAAGAGACTAATGGTTAGAATTGTGGGCCAAGGTCAGATAGTTGGGCTTTGCTTTTAGTACTCTCCCTTTGACCTTGAGCTTCCAGGGTGTCGCTAGCTACTTTTAATCTCAGTTTTTCTCATACCTGCATCTTTCTTTCTTAGAGTAACGTTGAGACTAACGATACAAGAAATGAGGAAGGGGACCTGGGTGGCCCAGTTGGTTGAGCATCCAGCTGTTGATTTTGGCTCAGGTCATGATCTTGTGGTTCATGGGTTTGAGTCTCATGTGGGCCTCTGTAGTGACAGCCTGGAGCCTGCTTAGGATTCTTTCTTTCTCCCGCTCTCTGCCCCTCTCTCCTCTCACCCTCCCACCCCCTTCCCTCATCGATAGATAGATAGATAGATAGATAGATAGATAGATAGATACATAAGTAAATAAATAAACTTTTAAAAAAAAAGAAAAGAGGAAGGAGTTTGGGAAAGATGCATTGTAATTTAGACTTCATTGTGTTAGAGCAATGGCAGACTGCGTCCCTAGCCTTGTGCCCATAAACATTGGCCTGCGTGTTCTTGGAGCTCAGTGCTCCTACAGCCGGCTCCTACCTTTAAGCTCCTCCCAGGGTCGTGTCTCTGTTAAGAATCCCAGGGACGAGCATCACTAAGACTTTCCCCTCAGATAAAACTTTCAAGCATGTTTCTCACACAGAGAGCAGTTTTTCTTAGGATGCTGACTTATCGCTTCGCTCTTTTTCTTGTGCCGCCTTAAATTCCGGGACCCAGTGAAAGTGGTGCCAGTCATCCTTTGTCGGCCCCATCAGTTCTGCTAAAAGCGTCAGTCCCCACACTGAGGCACCGCTACAGCCAGCTGGTGTAATTTCCATTAAAGAGGAACTTGTCTGTAGGCAAATATGATAGCCTTGACCGTCCTGATCCTCAGCATAATGGTGTGCTGCCCCAGAGCGCAGGAACACTAATGCACGAAGGCGAGTGTTCACCGGGGAAAGCTATCTCCACCCCAAAGAGAACTCGCTCACTAATTAAAATGATTGTTACCATGTTTTCATCCACTAATGTGCCTTTTTATCTTTCTCCCAAGTATCCAGTTATAATTCGACTTCTTTCTTCTTGTGATAGAACACAACTTCTCAGAACGTAACCAAGCGGCCAATGCAGCAAATGCAGCCCACCGCTCCCAGGAACAGTAACCTGCGCGAGCTACCCATCGCGCCGTCGCACGTCTTGGATATGGGCAGCAGCCGCTGCTCCACGGCCTCGGCTCAAGTGAAACCTGTCATCAGCACGTCGCCACCCTCGAGGCCGGGGGCGGGGTCCAGGGCCGCACCGGGGAAGACGGAAGCCAAGGTGAAGCCGCTCAGCCCTGTGGTTCAACCCAAAGAAGAAGCAAAAACAGAACCAGAGGTAGGACTTTCTTTATTAAGAGATAATTTGGGCCCAAACAGGAAGTCTTACAATAAACTTGTACTTCTTAGTTTACTCTCATCCCGCGAGTTTTTCGTAAAATTTGGCCACGGTTTTTCATCTGGCTCCTTCTTTGAACCCAGCAGCCTTCACGGAGGACACGCTGTCATTTCCATGTGTTTACGGTATCGGATTGCATTTCTGTCTTGTGCATTTGCACGTGTTGCCGCAGAGCCTGTCCCCTCCTCACGGGAGCGAGCAGATCACTTCTGGAGACGGCCGAGATCGTAAATACCTGAGGCGTTACGGCCCAGCCGGTCTTCATAATTACTCACCTCTGCTGTTTTAGCACAGAAGGCCTCGTAGACCATTCTGCATCCGCAGGCGTGGCCGTGTGCCGGTGAAACTTCCGACAGAACCAAGCTTCGGGCCGGATTTGGCCTGAGGGCTGTCGTTAGCTGATCTCGGACGTAGATGTACTGTTACGTTTCTATGACTGTTTCTCTGCCCCGCTACTGGGAGATGGGGCCACTTTGTCGTTTGGCCTCAAAACGAGATTTTGCGGGCAGCTTTCTTTTGTTGTGAATTCTGTGTATTATCAAATAGAATAAGTCGTATAATAAATGCAGGACAGTATTTTCCATGGTTTCCAACTAAGATCTTATTTGTACCTGGACTTCGTTTTGGTCACTTGGTTACTTTTTGTTTAGGAGTGGCTCAGTGTTAGTACAGTGTTGGTCATCAACTTTTTAATTGCCTCTTGTTTACTATTAGTAAAATCTGTGGTTGGGACAAAGCCCTGGGGGCCATTGATCTGTAAGAGAAACGGATCTGCTTGTCCGATGCTTTGTGTGGTAGGGGTTCAGTTCCGGGTTGCTCCCCAGAAATGCAGATGCAGAAGTTGAGCGGTAGGTGTCAGATGGAGGTTCTAGCCGAGCGGCTAGGAGTCTGCTGGCGCACGGGTCAGCACCACACCCTGAAACGGCCCACTGTTGCTAGCCGAGGTGTTTGTGCCTGGCAGGTGGGAAGAGGTCAGGTCAGCATGTGGAAGGTCCACCAATGTTTTTAAAAATGACGTACGACGTGTAGTAAGTTAGTATCGCTTATTAACGTGACATGATGGAAGGATAAGAGTTTCATTACTGGCACCTGGGTGGCTCAGGCAGTTAAGTGTCTGACCCTTGATTTCCGCTCAGATCATGATCTCACGGTTTGTGGGCTCTGCTGACAGCTCGGAGCCTGCTTGGGATATTCTCTCTATTGTGTGTGTGTGTCTCTGTCTCTCTCTCTCTCTCTCTCTCTCTCTCTCTCTCTCTCTCCCCCTCTCCTTCCCTCCCTCCCTCCCTCCCTCCCTCTCCCTGTCCTTCTCCCTCCCCCCTCTTTTGTCCCTCCCCTGCTCTCTGTCTCTCTCCAGAATAAAAAAAAAAAAAGTTTCCGTAGATAACAATAGAGGCATGAAAGAATAAGCCTTTTTTCAGTCAGTTCTCTTTCAGTTGAAATTGGGGGCTGGGGTCAGATTTTCCTAATAAATTATTGCTACCAAACGAGGAATGTGAACCTCAAGTAGAAATTCTGAGTTAACATTTACAAAGACCACGTTAGAGAAAGTCTGACTTTTTTGGTTTTAAGATCGATGTATGAAAACGTTATGTAGATTTACTGAGTGGATAGGGGTAGTTTATAAAAAGGAATTTTGCTGAAAACTTTATCCTGGTTTTAGTCGTATAGCTAGCGCCTGCCTTGTAAGTTGTGACCTGATTTAGTTCAGGAAAAATGAAGTCACGTAAGTCACATTATTTTCACTGTGACAGTGGTTAAATAAAATGAGAAAAGTGAGCTTTGGGCATGTCGCTAGCCACTTGTTGCTGTTCTTTTTCACCGTAGTTGATCTAAAAATACAGGCTTCTGCGGAAGCTTTCTGTAGAATCCAGCAGGTGCCATGAATGCGAAATGAAACTTGCGGGCAGCCATAGTGTGAGTCGAATGTCCTTATTTTTTTGCTTTTAATTGTGTGTACATATAGAATGGGACCAACAGTAAAATGGTTTTCATTTTTAAAAAATCTTAGGTAGGGGCGCCTGGGTGGCGCAGTCGGTTAAGCGTCCGACTTCAGCCAGGTCACGATCTCGCGGTCCGTGAGTTCGAGCCCCGCGTCGGGCTCTGGGCTGATGGCTCAGAGCCTGGAGCCTGTTTCCGATTCTGTGTCTCCCTCTCTCTCTGCCCCTCGCCCGTTCATGCTCTGTCTCTCTCTGTCCCAAAAATAAATAAACGTTGAAAAAAAAAATTAAAATAAAAAAAAAATAAATAAAAAAAATAAAAAATAAAAAAAAAATAAAAAATCTTAGGTAAATGTGGTTTATTTTCCTCCCCTCCTCCAATTGCGAATGATAGAATAAAGGGCAAATCCACTTCCAAGTATTTGTACCTACGTACTTGTGTACTCGAATATACTTTATTTAACTTTTGCTTGTTTGGGGGAAACCTTAGTGTTAATTTCTCCTCTGTTGATGAAACAGTGGGCCCGGTGGCCTTGCCGCTCTCCCCCAGCAGCCTGCTGCTCCCTGAGTGCCCGGCCCCAGTGCCTTTGGGACAGCCGTCCCCGTCTTCCTGTTCTGCTGCTTTTCCCTTGCTCTGGACACCTACCTGTGTAGCTATTGTCTGCCTTCAGTTTGCTATTTCAGACCTACCTTAGATTTTGAAATCAGATGACTGAGTTGGTCGGAATTGCTTCTGAAATGCCAGGCCAGTTCTGATGAGGCCCTGACTCTGTGTCCTGTAGGTCAAGTGTGTCGGCTCTGGGTGTCTTCAGCTGCCTTTTGATCTTCATTCCCATTTCTTAAGATTTATTTGTTAGTAGCTGAAGCTGAAGTGTAGAGAGATTAAATCCTATTGTGTTCTTTTGTAGAAGATCTCTGGATGAGGATATCTATGATTTTTTTTAATTACAATTTTTAACGAATTCTTAACTTTTAATAAACTTTCTTCATGAGATGCTCTTCCCGAAAGTTACTGAACTTTTTCAAAGATTTCTTCTGATAGACTTTCAGAATGGTTTGGGGCTGGCATATTAAAGGCCTTCCTTATATACCATTAATATTCCAATACCGCAATTGGCAGCATTTTGATTCTGAGGAGAGTGCATGAGTTCAAGGTCAGAGAGATTGACTTGTGCTGTTCATTATAACCAATTATTCTGTGACAAATGAGTTTGAGATCAGGCTGAAAATTCTGTACGAAAAATCAATAGTTGTAATCAGGCCCTTTCAGATCATTTATACCCACCTTTTGTTGGTTCGTCAGAGAGGAGCCAGATAAAACCTGTGTGACAGCACGGTCTCCCTACTGTTGGCGTTTCCATTCGAAACATATTTTGATATCTTAAATGAATAGTTTAATTGGTTTCAAACTTGTAAATGAGTGGAAATTTACATTATTTCGTTTTTAATATTCTGATAAGATTTTCCAAATTAGCTTTAGCTGTGTAATTTTTTTTCCCCTCCCCAGAGGAAAGAGTTCTCCTTAAAGTCTGTAAGCAGATTTTGAATGGCTTTTTGCAAGCCCTGAATTGGGCGTATTTGGAAGGTGCGTCTCCTCCGTGGTCCCCCGCCCCGGTTCTGCACAGTAAGCCGGGCATGTTTTCTCTTGCAGTTTCCCGATGAAGACGAGGAGACGCGCCTCTACCGCCTGAAGATCGAGGAGCAGAAGCGCCTCCGAGAAGAGATCCTGAAGCAGAAGGAGCTGCGGCGGCAGCAGCAGGCGGGCGCCAGGAAGAAGGAGCTGCTGGAGAGGCTGGCCCAGCAGCAGCTGCACCTGCCCGCAGCCTCGGCCGAGCCGGACGAGCAGGCGGCCTCACCGGCCCCCGCCAACGGGAACCCGCTCCTGCCCTTCCCGGGCGCGCAGCCTAGACCGAATGTGAAAAACAGACTCCTTGTGAAAAACCAGGACGGCCCCGTTTCGAACATTCAGCCCAAAATGTCCAACTTTGCGCCGGCCGGCGCTCCGGGGCAGTACCAAGGACAGCAGACGAAACCTCCCAAGCACCCGAGGCAGGCCAGGGCCGTCCCTCAGAGTCCGGGCCCGCACAGGGTCCCGCAGGGGAAGCCTGCGGACGCGGAGGGGCCGCCACCCCCCTCGCAGAGCGCTCGAGCCGCCCTCCAGGGCCGGCCCCCGGACACCAAGCCCGGCGCCAAGAGGACGGTCATGCACCGGGCCGGCAGTGGCGGCGGAGATGGGCCGCACGTCAGCTCCAAGGTCAGGGTGATTAAGTTGTCAGGCGGGGTAAGTTGACGAGGTCACCAGCGCCTCTTGGAATCTGCGCCTCACGTACAGTGTCCTCGTCCCCAGAGGAGGGTTGGAAGAGGCCAGCCTGCTAGAATCACGCGGTCCAGCCTCTGAGCACCCGAGTCCAGTGGTCAGGGTTGACTTAGGTTCTCCTTCTGACCTTCCGGTTCCCCTGGGTCTTCACGGAAGGCCAGCGTGGCAGCCCCAGGGCGGATGCTTCTCAGTTTTAGCTTTTCCTTTCGTAGGTAATTTGTGACAGAATCACCAAGTTGTTTTAAAAATTAAGTTCCTTTTACCCGCAAACAAGTAACCTGTTGTGTGTAGCTTCAGATTCAGGGAGGCCCCGTGGCTGAGGGACAGGCCGCTTCTCAGCAGCATTGTCTCCAGGACTGTCATCTTGTGTGTCCGAGCTGGTCTCTCTCGTTTTAGAAGACAGAGGCTTAGCAGAGTTCTCCAGTGAGGCCGTGTGGGTCGTGTGGTCCCCGGGGGGAGCGCAGCTCGCTTCTCTCTGCGTTTCTGAGCGGTCCCCGTGCTCGAGCATTCTCAGTGAGGGCCAGCTTGGCAGTCTGGGTAAAGGTGGCACTCGGAGGTGCCGCGGACAGGTCCCCGCCACACAAGGCTCAGTAGGCCACACGCTCTTTGCTCCCCGCACAGAAGGGGACTCACAACCTGTTCCGGCGGCGGTGAGACGGGGGGCAGGGCAGGGCAGCCGGGGCTCTGGTCCAGGGAGAAGGCCGCGCACCGGGTTAGGCACAGCCCATGGCTGCTCCTGTGAGTCGCTGACCTCAAACGCCTTTGTTCCTGGGTCCGTATAAAAGTGTGACTTCCTCACATGCTGTAGCAACAGTTTTGGTAGAATGACAGGAATTGGAAATCCCATATTCAGCAGACCCTGTGATATTTTTCCCAAATCTGTTTTTTCTCCCCTCCATTTGTTGTGATTCAAAATGTTGATAAGCAGATGGCCTGTGTCACCGCAGCTTGTGTTAACGTTGTGTGAGTTTGTTTTCTTGAGGTGAGAACCCAAGCGTTAATCAGTTTTATGGTGTCTGTGGCCTTTTGTTCTGGCTTTGTCTGAGGCATGCTTAATTTCTCTCTCTCTCTCTCTCTCTCTTTTTTTTTTAATTGAGTTAAAAACTTAGGAGGAGGGGCCATGGGGCCATGGCTGGGAATAGGCCTTTTCTTGTGGCCCCTGTGCGTGGTACAGTGTGGTGATGTGGCCTGTGTGAAAGTGAGGGCCGCTGGCGGGCTGGGATGTGCAGGCCACCACTCTGCTCTGAAAGTGACTTTCAAACCAGTTAGCTCCTTTTCTTTAAAAAATTTATCTACTTAAGTTTTTGCTGTCTTTTTCTCCAGTAGGGGAGGGGGAATTTTTTTTTTTTTTATCAGACTGTATTCCAAAATCATGCTGTATAATTTTATAACACACAGAAAAACAACAGAGGAGTTTTACGTAAAAATAGCTACATGCCAAAATTTGGAACAACTTTCTTTAGCTCTCCTTTTAATTCCTAAGTTTTAAGTTTGCTAACCGACACGTTTTGTATCTTACGATTTATCTTAGCAAGTTCTGTAGTAGTGTGTTGGCAACTTTTGAATTACTGGAGGGTAAACATCTCTTGTTTGTATCTCTCTGAAACAGAAAAAATAGTATTTCCCTAAAGGCCTTGGGGTTTTTCTTTTGTAGGTAGGAAGGAGCTATTCTTTAAAAAAAAATTTTTTTTTTTTGTTTTTGAGAGAGAAGGAGCACACGCCAGCAGGGGAGTGGTAGAGAGAGGGAGACCCAGAATCCGAAGCAGGCTCCAGGCTCCGAGCCATCGGCACAGAGCCCGACGCGGGGCTCGAACCCACGAACTGCGTCATGACCTGGGCTGAAGTTGGACGCCCAACCGAGCCCCCCGGGCATCCTGAGGAAGGAACTGTTCTTAAGAGAACACGTTCTTAGCTGTACCTGCTGATGAGGAGGGGAAATGGGTCCGTTCCGGCACTTCTCCTGTCGTTTCTGCGCCGCCAGCCTGCCCTCTTCCCGGAGACGGCGGCACGAACACCGGGGCCCAGCTGGTACCGTGTAAGGGGCCGACGGGGGCTCACCTGTCACACCTGTGCAGAGGATCACGTGTGCGTCTCACCTTTCTAGTCACTTACTGAATGACAGCATCTTGTCTGTTCACGTTCTGTTTGTGTCTTGCTGTGAGCTCTGGACTTCTTTGCGTCCTGTTAGTACAAAACACATACGTTGTGTATTGTATCGATAAGGTTTCCTAGAGATTCACTCTGGAGAGAATTTTGTTTACCTTTTTTCTAACCTATACTGGCATCAAATCTGTGTCGTCAGAATTATTCTTTGCATTCAGTAGGCTCCTCTAGTCTGCTGTCTGGTTTCTAGACGGGACCCGGGACTGTGGTGGTACATAGTGGCCTGCTAAAGTGGTCCTGGTGGCCACTAAAGTAGGTGTCCACAGGACTGCTGGGGAAGCAGAAATGTCTTGGAACTCTTACTCTGACAGGCAAATTGGAAATATCTTAAAATGTAATGAGAATTCTCAATGTACTTGTGGGGCTGTTGCGAACCAACGCGGAATTCTCTTGTTATTTTCCATATTTTATTTGTAATCCAATAATTACTTTTGGATTTTATTAAATTGGGTTTTTTACAATGGGAAAGAGCCCGAGTCTTAAGGCAGTCGTTGTTTTTAGTCTTCTTTTTTATTAGGTTCATTATCTTTAAAATGATGTGATTTTGAGAGAGGGTGTGTGTGCAGCAGAGGAGGGGCAGAGAGAGGGGGGGAGAGAGAGAGAGAGAGAGAGAGACAGAGACAGAGACAGAGAATCCCAAGCAGGCTCTGCACTGTCCATCATGGGGCTGGATCCCACGAACCGTGAGATCATGACCTGGGCCGAAATCAAGAGTTGGATGCTTAACTGACTGAGCCACCCAGACGCCCCTGTGGTGATTTTAATGCACCCTCATGATCGTAAGAGAATTTCTAGTTTTTTAATATCCTCTCTCTTTATTGTGGTTAATGCATCACGGGCACAGGAAGCATTTTCAGAACTTAGTAAAAATTCTTTCTTGGTATTGGTTCTCACAGTTGCGGTGACCATGGTCGTGCTTAAGGTCCAGGAGTGGTTCTTCATCTTTCTCAGGGGTGTTGGCATCCTGCCGGTGGTTGGTCCTCGTGAAATTCCCTTCTGTGGGACGTAGACGTTGCAGCTGTCCCTCGCCAGGACCGAGAGCTCGCGTGTGCGCGCTTAGGCGCCACGTGGTAGGGGCGGCGTGGCTGTGTGTGAGGGAGCCCCGTGTGTGGACGGGCACATGTCTTCCGTTGTTTCGGGCCCTGAACTGCCAGTTCGTTTTTTTTTTTATTTTTTTTTTTTTAAATTTTTTTTCAACGTTTATTTATTTTTGGGACAGAGAGAGACAGAGCATGAACGGGGGAGGGGCAGAGAGAGAGGGAGACACAGAATCGGAAACAGGCTCCAGGCTCCGAGCCATCAGCCCAGAGCCTGACGCGGGGCTCCAACTCACAGACCGCGAGATCGCGACCTGGCTGAAGTCGGACGCTTAACCGACTGCGCCACCCAGGCGCCCCATGAACTGCCAGTTCGTTTGTCTGAACCCAAGTCTCCAGGCTGCGGACGGGGTTTTTAAAGTTGTGGGAAAGGAGGAGATGAACTTTCTGGCACGTGGAAGGCCCTCCACGCATGTCTGTTTGCTTTTTAGGTGCTCCCAAGGCCCATTCCAGGAACGCAGGCTGTGGTTTCATGCCCTAAATAGTAGTAGTTACCGTACATCGGGTGCATAGCGTGTACTCACGGCATCTGGATGAGGCGGATACTTGTGTTCCCATTTTACAGGTGAGTAGACGGAGTCTCAGAGAGGTTGTGTTAGCAGCCCAGGGTAGAGCTAAGTTTTTTGCCGATGTTTGTAACAGTTGTTTTTGCTGCTGCCTCTTTTTCCGGTGTTAGCTGATGAGGGATGATATTCTGCCGTTTCCAGTGAGTACATAGAGTTGGTCCAGAAGAGTTCTGCCAGGGGCTTCTGGAAGAAGTGTGACGATTAGGTTTCATTTTTCTTGCCGAGCCCTAGTGGTGGCTCCTGACTGGAGAGTGTCGGGGAGCGTCCGGAAGTAGGAAAGTGCCGCGAGGGGTGCGTGGCCGCAGCTGCGGGTGCGGGACCGGAGAGGGGCCGGGTTTCCATCATTCCTGTTCTGGAACCTGTGTTAACATGGGGGTAGGCTCCTGGCCCCCGGCCCGCCAGCGTGAGGGACCGTGTGGCCTGGCCACGTGCAGCCCTACTTGCCGTGTGCTGTAAGCGAACCTTTGAACATTGCTGGGGAAGTCAAATTAGGCCACGTTTTATATTTAAAACACTGACATGAAAATCTGGGGAATTTGCAGTTTAAAGAGACCTTTGTTGTGAGGCTCTCACGTACGTGTGGATTTTAGTTTTTTCATATCTTGTCCAGCTTTGCTAGAATGAGTGTCTGTAGAGTGGCGGGCTATGAAGAGTGTTGAATATTGGCAAATACTTCCAAAATTTCACGTGCCTCCTCGAAGGTACTTATATAAGTGATCTGCCTAAAGAATTGTATTTGATGGAATGATCAAATTACTTAAGATCTGGAAACATTCTCCATTTGCTCGTTTCTCAGAAAGCTACTTGAGTATTTAGTTTTCAGAAGCCAAAAGAACAATCTTGCTAAATCATAATTTTGTCCATAACCCATAGAGAATCCAGAAAAACTATTCGAGTGACACGAGAGCAAATATAAAAATATAAAGCGTTTCCTCGACGTGAACTTACCATAGTCCTCCAGCCGTCCTTTGGGACCAGACACCAGAGAACCGGGACCGGAGCAGGCGCGTGCCCCGGGCCTTCCTTCGTTCAGGACCTTAGTGGGGACTGCCACCCCGTCTTCCAGGTTCGGGCCTCGGGGAACCTCGGTTGGCGGCCCCAGCGAAGCCCG